TTCAGTCACGTGGGCCTGGAGTTCACTGCTCGTGCTTTTGGAAAGCATTGACTGACTTTTATGAAACTCAGAGCATTTTTTGTCTCTGGTTTTCATGGCGGTCAGTATGCCGGAGTGCATCCACGGCTCAGCGCGATTTTTTACCCTGGTTGTTCTTAGGAGGGCCAAATCATTGAGTATTGCAGTGAATTTGTTTTTGAAACCAAGCCATGTTTCTTCAACTTGTGTACCACTGAGCTCATCTGACCAGTCCAGGCTCTCCAGTTCTAGGTTAAAGGCCTCGCTAGAGTCGTTTTTGAGGTCTCTAGATATGACTGTTTTGTGACAGCCGGCCCTTTGTTTTAGCTTTTTGCTGGTACAGAATATCATATAATGATCACTTAAACCGCATGCTATAACCCCTTTACTGGAGATCCTGGACTTGTCAGAGGTCAGAATGAGATCAATGGTAGTTTGTGTTGTTTCACATACCCGGGTGGGTTGGGTGATTAGCTGGCTGAAGCCGTGCAGATCACAAATCCTACTGAAGGACTTGAAGACGGACGTGTCTTTACGTTGCATATCCGTGTTCCAGTCTCCAATAATAATTGTCTCTACATCCCCCACATCAGCCAAACGTTGCTTCACCATGAGCAGAAACCTTTACAGTCTATGGCAGAAACACTGAAACTCTTGTTAAGTTTCTCCATCGTTGTGTACAAACTGGATAAAACGCGGGCTTTTTGTTGTTGTTCAGGAGTTGATCTGTCTCTGCCCCCGCCTCGACGTAAGCGTGACGTGTGGTGCTTTTGCTCTGGCCGGACAATTTTTTGGTGCTTGAAACAAACCGGATTCTGGAGCTAAGAGGCTGTTCCGCTGCGGTGTGAAGAGGAAAACCCGGTGCTTTTCAAGCTCCAGCTCCGAACCGGCCCTGAAACACCGTTGGTGTGAATGAGGTATAAGTGAATATGTTTGGGGTTTCGCTGTTGGTCAGACAAAACAAGATATTTTAGGATTCAACTTGGACTCTGTGAACTCGTGACAAGCATTTATTCCATATTTTCTGACATTTAAACAGAAATACCCAATTAACCAAGAGAATAATTGCAGATGAACTGATAATGAAAATAATATCAAATTGCAGCCCTAAAAATGTTCTGGCTTTGATTTGACATGGATTAAATCGACTGATTTGGCAATGCTTTATTCTTATATATAGCCTGAAGTCCTGAGTCGTTCCATAAGGAATTATTATGACAGCTGCTCAATGCGGCTATTTGACATTTTAACACAATTAGTTTCCAAGAACAGGACAACACTCATCTTGGTGGGTGGACATGCTTGAAACTCATTCTGCAAAAGGTAAAATTGTTTGTGGGAACAAAGATGATGACGCACTGTAAAATGGTGATGGATAATCATAGTGCTTCTCACTTTTAAAAAAAGCTACATTGATAGAATAACAAATTGCATAAATGATCAGATGACTAGAAGATCTGGTGGCTGTGATTCAGAGGGGCGCCAGCAGCAGGAAGTTTTAGTCCGACTGACGTCTGCATAGCTTCAGTGTGTCTTTAATGTTTGTCCATCTTGTGTCTGTTTAGTTCTTAGTCTGCCTGTGTCGTCTTTCCGTCTGTCCCCATTTCTCTCAGCCTGTTTGTGTATTTGTTTTCCCTGCTGTCACTCTTGTCTATTCATCAGTTCTGCCGCGAGTCGCTTGAGGTCACAGCGCTGTCCATTCTGGTCATTTCTGGGTGTCATCACAAAGGGCTACATGCCATGAGTTTCAACAGCCAAAAGGGCCCTTGTATCCCAACAAAAAAACCTTTGTTATGTAACGCACTGATGCTGCCGCTGCTGATGCTGCTTCTGACAATGATCGAGGGCAGGAGGAAGAGATTCAAAGTGGGAGGGGAAGATGAGAGTCAGACAGGGACAGAGAGGGAGTTAAATTGAACACAGAAAGAGAAAGGGAAGAAACAGTGTGTGTCCCTTTCAGCGGTGGATGAGCTGAGTGTGTCCACCACTGCCCACATGCTGCACCGACATGATTTCTGTACTTCATGTATTTTCATGCTGCTCTGAGAGAGACAGCATACAGCAGCATGACATCACTGAGTAAAGGAGGAGAGAACTGGGCTCTACCCCCCCGAACATATCAAATGTCACTGATGGAGAGATGTTTCTGCATCCCAGGTGTGTGTGTCTGGTTACTGTTGCGATGTTTGATCTGAACTCACTACCAATATCCTTCTGTCTGTCTCTACTCTGTCCTCTGTGGAGAATGATGCAGCTTGTTTTCAGGTGCTTTATAAACTCTTACTTACACATTCTTAAAATGCTCATTATCTAGCTTGTTCGTACATCTCTGTTGCATTTCAATCTGGCCATCAGATGATAAACAGTGAAAGTGTCATAAAAATTGACCAAAAAAACAGTGGCTGACCTGTGAAACCCTCGGCACACAAATACATTATAGATAACTTTTGTTTGTGTAGTCCTATGTGCAAAGGATCACCTTTCAGAGGCCTGCAACACGCTGACCCCCAACATCGATCCCTGTGTATCGACTCCTCACATGATCAATAACTATCTGCATTCACACTCTGTAATGAAAATAGATCAGTGCAAAGGTTGTGACTAAACTGTCTCACATGGACTTTATTTAGTAAATGCTTTGGGAGGAGGAGGGGGTGCAGCATTTCCAACTCCTCTCTGCATGGCCTTACTTGAAAGGTCTGTCATTGACTTGTTGGGAAGGGTAGATGTCACGTGGACAAACACATCAATAAATACACAAAAACATGAAGGCTTAAGGTTTACAGTGTGATTATTGAATCAGGTCACAAGCAGTGGCGCACTTCATCTGGGCACAACTTCGGCCACCACACGCAGCACAGATGGCGGGGATGCCTCAGCTCAGCAATTCTCAACACACACACACCACACCACACACGCAACTGACGCAACACACACTCTAAAAAGCTTTAACATCTGTAATGACTTTGCCATATCGATGAGAACAATGTGATTGTCGTCAGAGCTTATCATCACAATGTGCGTATACATGGTCCCCCGTATTGATCACCCCTGACGTGCACTATCACGACCAACCGCGCACACGAGGGGGATGGCGCATACGTGCTGGACTGCCACCACACAAACACCATGCGTCCTAATAATAACAACATGTAGGCTAGACACTTTAGATCCACTGCAGTTTATAACTCTGTATCCAATCTTCGAGGAAAGGACAAGTCCTGGCATGATAAATACATTTCAATGTCATGTCATGTCATGTTGTTCTTGGCAGGACATAATCTACAAGCAATACACTTGTTTTTTATTGTAATATCACTGCACTTGTGCCTGAATGTTAAAGTTGCCTCGGTTAAAAAGTACTGTAAGGGCTGTCCATCACTAATCGACGCTGGAATAAGCTTCTTACAGCGATAGGAAAACAGTGCGTAACAACAAATGCACCACAGTGAAAAATAACGCAGAGGAAATCATTTTACCTTTGAAGGGAAGAAAACACGGATCTCCACGTAGCTTAGAAGATGTCGCACCTCCTCGTTTTTTCTCGTGGCACTGCCAATCCTAAACCCCCTTTCGCATTCCTTCCTAGGCAAATTTCCTCTTCTCTCTCCGGCCCTGACAAGTCCTGCAGAGACGCAATGTTTTGACGCGCAATGATGCCCAGCAGAGTTTAGAAGAGCAGAGGTAAAGAGTGCTGAAGCAACCAGCCGGAGCGAGAGGGTTCCCTCCAACTCACTTCCGTGTTCGTATAGAAACCGTTACACAGTCAGGACTGTTATTTCTCTCCGGTTTCTGTCCATTGTCTCATTGTTTTGTTTCATTTAGTCGTTTAGCAGTGTAACCCGTGTCTTCTGTTACATATACTGTCACACATTTGAGTGTTAGATGATGTAGGTATGCTTTTGTCATTGTGTTTTTTGTGTGTAAAGACTAGTGTTTTGATGGTGAGCTCAAATGTATCTGTTTTTGTTGTTTTACATTTCGACCATCAAAACAAAGCTTTTTCATTCCAAAAAAATGGTGTTCAAGGTACAAAAGCTTAAATGTATGTAGATATAACATTATGCATACAAAAATACACATCATTTTAAGCAATCAAGAGAAAAACAATAGCTACACCACAAAGAACTATAAATAATAATGATGAGGATAATAATTGGAAACATTTTATATATTTGGTGACAGACACCACTGTGTAGGCCTACATTTGATTTCTTATTTCAAATTTAAGAGTCTTTCATTTCAAGTAACACAACTTAAACGTCAGATTGAATTAAAAAAAAAAAGGTTATTAACAGTAGTACTTAAACATTAATAACACATTCAAAGTAATTGAAGGTATTTGTTACTTTCACTGTTTACTACTGCTGCATAATACAAAATAGACTAAATATGAATGGTATTTTCCTGTATGTATTTGTTTGATACATTTTGTGCAATAGTTTCAGATGTATTTCTCCTGTTTTGTCACTGATGCAGAATCACAATAAACCATGGCAAAGATATTTTAAAGCTCTGAAGGACGTGCACCATCTTGGTGGCCAGGTTGGCAATCTTTGGCAAAGAGGACACGGGCCGTTTCCTCGATGAATGACATCTGTAACAGCCAATCAGCGAACGGATAAGGCATAGCAACACTGAGCTCATTGGTTGAGGGTAGAAGCCTGTGACCAGTTATCTGACAGGAATATTACAGTTTTACATTGTTCTTCTTCGTAATGTAAAACACTAATAGCCCCATGTGAGTGCAGTTTTTAAGAAAGAAGACCAAGCATGGAAACAGCAGTGTGTAGAAAAATGAAAGGAAACTATTTTATATAACAATTCATGTCCCGCATCATTCACTTTCTTTCTACTGGGAAAAGTTCTCAAATCACTCTAGTCTACAGCGCCACCTGCTGTCAGTCTGCAGGTAGTTACCAAACATAACATTTTAGCCAAATAAGTGCGGGAAACAATGTTATACTACACGCACCACTCAGTTTATGACATCATTTTTTGTTTTTATTGACCATGGTAGAAATGTACATGTTCAATAATCACTTTTTAAATCAAATGGCGTATAAGGCATATTGATACGCAGCCAGGTCCCACAAACACAATCAAACACAACGCAGATTAACAAATAATCATTTAGGCTTGCACAACAAATTTTCCCTCAGTAGGCTACAGCACAGGACAAATATATCAAAAATGTTCATTAATGTAAGATCTGTTGATTGGTAGATCACACATCTTCCCTATCAGACAAACCACTGTGCAGATTTCACTTCCACCACTCAGACAGCACTGATAAAATACCCAACAATATAGAAAATAAAGCAGCAATAATGTTTTTACTTTAAATACAGAACAATATACAGTACTTTCAACCAAAACCACATTCTTTAGTGATCGTCACTCTCTGAGGTCACACATTTGGACTAGAAATCTTAAATGCTATAATAATCCCAAATCATCTTTGATTTTCTGACTGTGACACACAGTAAATAGCTGCTGTCTTAAATACATTTAAAATATTAAGTGTAAAAAGAAAAATCAATCAACACTTATCACGTCTACCATATTTACAATATGCTTTAAAGCCCATACATAAAAAATGTATATATTAAGTTCAATTCTGTTTACGATCTTAATAACACAGGTGAAAAAGGCAATCCTCATTAATTAAAGTTACAAAACGAGATAATCGTTTTTGTGCAAAATCAGTCAATTCATATGGTTCAGAGAAAAATCTGGAGACTAAAAAACTACACTTAAAACACAACACAATTACAAAAAACAACATATAAAGTTTTATTTAAAGAGCAGTCCGCTGATAAAATGATTGTGCCTTTGAATTTTAAATAAGGGTCAGCGGCATGACCCAACTCATTAGTCATACTCTTTATTTGACTAGTAGCACATTTTTTATTGCATCAGGTCACATATAAAGATTATCTAACAAATACTTACAATTTGGATATTGCATGTAATCAACAGTCTGATAGGAACATGGAGAAAGACATTGTACCTAAAAACATTCTAAAGCTGCTGGTAAATTAACATTAAATATGACTGCAAACTGTCATTTACTTGAAAGACTGGAAAAAGGCGAAATTATATCTTGACATTAGTAACGCATACAATTGTTGAAATTCAAGGGTGATAAGACTTGCAAAAACTGAAGTTTGATGTGCATTTTGTCCCATTTAAAATAAACTTTAGATTGTGTTGTTTGTAAATTGCACAAAATATGCAAAGAACAAACTCTAGGTAGATAATAATATTAAGCAGAGTGTTTTATAAGTTTGAAATTAAATGTTTGTGTCACCAGTATAACAGCTGGTTCCTCAGATCAGTGCAGTATGCAGAGCCTGACTGCGAAACACTGAGGAGGGGGCTGGTTAGCAAGGACTCAGATTGTAGGTTAATCACATATGAGGGGGGGGGAGGTAAGGTAGATGTTGGCAGGTCACCGGGGCTTAGAAATGCCATTCAGGTCCAGGAATTCTTTAAGCCTGGTGGGAAAATCTGTCATAACTCCTGTGGCTCCCAAGTCAAATGCCCTCTGGAAGTCCTCCTCATCATTGAGCACCCAAATGTACACCTGAAACCACAGGCAGGAGTTACACACACACACACACACACACACCACACACACACACACACACACACACACACAACACACACAAACACACACAACACACACACACACACACACACACAAACCCACACACACACACACCACACACACACACACACACACACCACACACACACACACACACACACACAACACACCACACACACCACACACACACACACACACACCACACACACACACACACACACACACACCACACACACACACCACACACACACACACACACACACACACACACACACACACACACACACACACACACACACACACACCCACACACACACACACCCACACACACACACACACACACACACACACACACACACACACACACACACACACACACACACACAGTGAAGGGTGTCACACAAGGACAAATAATAATCAGCTTTGTTAGCGGCCACTCAATTCTATTTTTGAACTTGTAGAAACCAGAGACGTTTCCCAGTAACTGCTCTCAACTCTAAACATACCACTGCAACAACAAAAAGCTCTCAGAATGCAGACAGGCTCTTTTTATGCTATGGAAAGATTTGTAATCATTCCTGGAAGTAAAAACAATACAGGGAAAGTGACTGAATCTTGGCAGAATCCTGTCAATGTCCCTGGTTGCTCTTGACATTGTATGTAAACACTGGATACACAGCCTCCTTCAAAGGTCCCCTATTATACTGTTGTTCATCATTATATTATAGGTCTCAGATATATACAAAACATGTCTCAGAAGTGTTTGGCTCCAAACACCAAACAGATCATGCATTGTAGCATCCCATAAACCCCTCTGTTTCAGCCCTGTTCCAAAAGTGCTGATTCTCTGTCTGTTACTTCAGATGCAAAATAAGGCGCCCCTCTGAGAGATATTTGGTTAAAAAGAACACAATGGTGCTCTAGGAGGAGATTCAGGTGATAAGGTGTTACCTTGGTTGGTGATTGGCTAATGGCTAATTACACAAGCCAAAAAATCGTTATGACATCATAAAGTGGCCAAAATCTGATCAGGTCATTTTTAGACAGGTGTTTATATAAATGGATCAGGACAAAAAGTGAGAGAATCTTTTTTCCTGAAACTTTCAGAATGTCTTTACACAGAGGGGACAAATGTTGATGTATAAAATACGTGAAAAAGTGCATTTTGCATAATAGGTGACCTTTAATGTAAGCAGAAGGGTTTGGAGTAAATAATAATAAGATAAAGGTAAATTGACTTAATAGGCATCAGCTACTCCTTATCATTACCCCTACACAATTTGCATCCACAAAAAATTCAATAATTTGTGTTCAGAGGTTTTTCTGTTATAAGAACTACTAGAGAAGCTACGTAACAGTGGTTTTACCTGTATTCCCCTGGCAGTAAGATGCTGAAACAGAGTCTTTCTCATCAGCAAACTGCAAGAGAAAAAATAGAAACTGCAAATATAGCAAAGCTAAAGATAGGTTTAGTTTTGCAGTTGTAAATGTCTTGCATTAATCATGGTCACAGTAATGTATATGTGTATTATTGTGTAATGAGGCGTCTTAATTCTTCCCAGTACCAGCATTTCTAAAAAAAAACTATACTGTTCAACGAGGGAGAAATAAATACAATGATACATAAAGAAAAAGTGAGGATACACAAGTTTACAGATGTAATGTAGTGTGATACAAATACCCAAAGATTTTGCAACTCTGAGGATAGAATTGAGAAGACAGATGGATTTCAAATGATAGGACAAATGAGAGACTTACGTGTCTGCAAGCCAGGCAATTAATCTCTGACTCCTCGTTAATCTGTCGGGACCCTTTATTCTGCAAAATCACATAAAAAAGTGTCAGAAAGTTAAACACTCTGATGTACTTGCCACAGTCAGAATCAAGAAAACAACAAAAGTTTCAAATGGTAATACATTTTTATATCTGATTAATGCGCTTTGCATTACGGGTTATTTTAGGTCAAATACAGCCAAAAGCTGAAATAACTTGTTTTGATGTGTGTATACCTACTTGGTAATAATAGAAGGCATGGGGATCTCCAGAAACTGCTCCTTGAGGGGAACAAAAGGCAGGAGGCCGGTGTAGAAGAGGCCTAACAGCTGCAATACTCTGAATAGGCTGAACAAAACTGGGATACGCGGGTTCTGCAAAACACAAACACACAACCAGGATTCATGTTCAATCCCTTAATTCATTCACTACTGGTTGATATAATATCAAATACAGAGCTCTACAGTTTACAGCAGATTTAGTATTTTTCTTGTATTGTAAAGTGTAGATTTCATTCTCTCTTATCCATGCCAATATACGGCCTAATACAGTAGATACAAAATAATAGTGTTTTTTTAATTTTTTTAAAGGAGATCTATTCCATGAATTGACTACACTGAGGGTAATGTACACTTTATATCTCATGTAAATGTACCTCTGTGTAGCATTTATTTACAATCTTGTTGCTAGCGTTGCCCCAGACCGTCAGATTCTCTCTGTCGTAGTTAACAACCATCTCAGAGACCTGCAAGAATTAGAAAAGTTGTAGCTACAGAAACACATAGCAGACAGGTGTGAAACAGGATGAAGAAAAGTTTTGTTGCCATCCCATAATGTACTTTTAAGGTGCATAGTCTTTGAAGTTAGTGTTATAATCAGCCTGTTTATGTTCACCTTTTTATTTACAATGAGGAAACTACTCATTCCATTTTAAGGACAAATATGACTACATAAAATCTGTAAATAGCTCATTCAGTTCGATGAAAAATAGAATGGGAAATTGACAAACAAAAAAAAGAGAGAAAAAAACTAAAGTTGTTGTATAGGAAGGTTTGAGTCTTATCACACACAGACCTTCTTGATGAGCCTGTCGTCGTTGACCTTGATGTCTATGTTGACAGGGGTATGGGGAAATGCTTCAAAAACGTCCTTGAGTAGAGGGATGCGTTTGTCCTCTCCCCCCTCGCAGAAACACTCTGCCAGACAAGGACAAGTCAAAAACACAAGCTGCCTCAGTATATACTCCAGACAGCGGCTGGGGCTACATATTGGTAAATGTGTACACACTGACAGTGTAACGTCTAAAATCAATCTGCATTATCTGTAAAAAGTCAAATGACCTGTAATTATAAATGCTTCTGCAGGGGATAAACACAATATACGTATATTTGGTTACATGGACACATCAACGTATTCTATTACACCAGTTAGCATGATGTCTTGTAAAACAAATTCTGGTTATTATTTATTAGTGCAGAAGCTGTTTTGGCCAAACAACAACTTGGATAGGTTTAAGAGTAGATGGTGTTTTGGGAAAAATACAGTAAGCACTGTGTCCAGGTAGCCATGCATTTCCTGGCACTAGATTATGTTATATGCAAATTATAATAAATATCTTCTCTTAGGTATAAGTAGGAACAGTGGATGAGAACAGACTGCACAACTCTGAGTAACAAAGTAATGACAGAAGTTGCTGATATTCCTCTGTATGTAGGCAGGGATAACTCTGTATTAATTACACCAGCCATCAGTTTGTGATGCTCACCTCTCTGAAAAGTCACACCAAGCTTGCAGAGGTACGGAGGGAGCTCCTGCAAAGAGCACACAGTCAGTGATGAACAAACAAGAAATATACCCTATAGACAGGGGGGCGTGATGGATGTGACTGATTGCGTTCAAATGAATGTCAATATAAAAAATAGGCAGGAAGGCAAGGACACGTCAAAGCAAGATTAATGTAAAAAGCCCAAATCTGTCCAATAAGGCCGAAGAGCAGAGAGACTGTGAACCTTCAGTTACACACATTTAAAAAGAAAATTGATAGAGTACATGTGTTTTTTGGCGTACACTTTGTATACTAAAGTTGGTATGTTTTTTAAATATATTCCTAGAATAATGTCAGAATTTTAGTTGTGAAAAGAATTGTGATTAATTTTTTTTTATGTCAGAATTATGTTTGCGCATGTGTTCTTAATCATTGTGTCTTATTGGGATGTCTTAATACAGCAATTTCCCTTTCAATTGTATCCGATAGAAGACAAATTCCTTAAATATGTGTGGGCCTCATGGCCTCTTCTGTATGGTACATGTTAAAAGGAGCACATAGAAAAACGGCTTACAAATGCTACTATTAACATTTTCAACTTTTTTCCAAAATGTCCATTATTCAATTCAATTATCATTAAGATTTTCTTTTGTGAAGGAAAGCGATGATATTATAGAGCAGTAACTCACAGCGTAGGTCATGTCTGAGATGTGGGCGTTGATGCCAGAGGCCCTCAGCAAGCTGGCGTCATGTGACACCACTACCTGTTCATCTTTGGTCAGGTGGCAGTCCAACTCCAGCATGTCTGTGCCAAGATCTACAGCGCTGCATGGACAAACACACACACTTAAAAACTACATTGACTTTTATCACATAAAATTCAAGCAGTTCAGTTCCTAATCGCAGCCGTTAGTAACCTTTGGGCTTTATGTCTCAAACGGTTATCTAAGGCACCACTGCCTGTATGCTGGAGTGTGGTGAAGACAGACAGACATCAGATTGTGGTCACAATCAAACTCAGATGACACAAACTTCCCACAATCACATGAAAAAGTCACCAGGTCAAAAGTCAAAAAGAGCTTTGTCATAGTGACTTTTGTTTCTACTCACTGCTTGAAAGCTGCCATCGTGTTTTCCAGGTTTTCACCAGCGCCTGCAATGAAAAAGTAAATACTAAGCATGGTCTATTGTTGTCTTGACTCTTTACATTTGCATACCCACAGTTAAATATTGCCTTCTGCCTACTTCAGCATACCATACACACAAATACTGTCTTATGAAAGCAGAGTAATACATACATAACCCAAACCATACACATACATGGCAACAAACTGGCAACAGCATACGCATAGGTTGGGGAAGTAGCCAAACAATGAACTTTGGACATAGTTTTACTGTGTACGAGTAAAAACTGTTTATGATATACTGCACTCAGACGAGAGAAGTTATGAAATTGACAGGCATAGGCCCAAATCATGATCATGAGACTCAAGATCGAAATGACACTCATCTTTGTAAACAAAATCATTTCCCGAAGTATTCGTACGCTATCTATTAATTTGCACATTTTGTGAGGATCTGTGGATAATTTGTCATGGAATCTTTTTGCAACCTTTTTATTCGTCAGGAGTTTTTAGTAAAAGATACAAATAAACTGATAATGTTCATCACAGACTCACCTCCTCGATGGGAAATGTGTTTGCTGAGAAAAGGCTCTCGTTTCCTACGGTGCAAAATATTTGGGCATTTCATCAGCAGGGCAGAGGTGAGCACATAGCCCGTTACCGTCGACAGGACATACACAGCAGCACACATCTCCTGTCAGCACGCTGCAAAAACAAACAACACAATCCTATTGACTTTGAGTGGCATGTTGAATGATTCAATAAACAACATCCCTATAGAGTGGCGAAGTCACGCCCATCTACTTCTGGTCCATGTGACCTTATTTCGGAAAAATTATGTATTGAAGTCAATGGAGAGAGAAAACGTATCTTTCGATCCCGTTTGAATTGTGCCACGAATTACACATATGATGTTTGTCAATCTTAAAAAATCATTTCCATGTAAAAAAAAGTCACAGTTTGTCGTAAAACTGTTGAAATATAAGACTATGAAAAATACGCAACTAGAAAAACTACAAATCCCAGAGTCGCGTAAGTGATGTCATAACACAATTGCTTTCCTCCGCTAAATATAAGAGATAGCTAAGATAAGAAGATAACTTTAACAAGATGCCTGTGTGCTTAATACCAGGTTGTTATCATACCAGCAATGGGTCTTGCTCGTTCTCGCTTCCCGTCTGATGAAAGGACCAGGAGTGGCTGGATCAAGTTAGCTACCTAGCTAGTAGCAAGCATGTTAGTTAGCATTACAGCCTTAGCCTTGTTATTTTTATTAGCCTTAACATGAAGTAACATGAAGTAACCCAAAATGTGAAACAGTAAGAGTAGTAGTCATATTTCGTGAACCCTTTGAAGAGTAGTTGACAAATATGACATGTGGGGTACCTCACATCTCCGGTGTGATCATTCTATAATACACCATTTAAGCCCGGGGGAGAAATGCTAACGCTACATTAGCATCGGCGATCTTTTGTACTTCATGCTATTTGCACAAATGGTTGACATTAAACATTAAAAAGAACAGGAAGTTCAGAGGGAACCAAAGGAAGGCAGGCAGGCAGCTTTCCATGACATTCTTCGGGACGTGTTTCATTGTGGTGATAGTGAGGGTAGTCAATCCCTTGTTTAGCAAGACAGTAGTGACGGCCATCTTGGTGACGTGTGTTGTTGTGCAAGACCAGAGATGTAGTTCATTGACCGTTTCACACAAAAAATGTGTTACTTCACAGTTTTACGACACTTTTTTTTTTATTTGACTGGCAAAATTATCTTTTAAATTGACAAACATCATATGTGTAATTCGTGGCACAATCCAAACGGGATCGAAAGATAATCTTTCTCTCTCCATTGACTTCAATACACTTCCGGTGGACCTGCATGGGACCTGAGTGGCGAAGTCCCTCCCCTTCCGGTGGGACTCATGGGACCTTATTTCGGAAAAAGTTTGTATTGAAGTCAATGGGGAGAGAAAGATTATCTTTCGATCCCGTTTGAATTGTGCCACGAATTACACATATGATGTTTGTCAATCTTAAATAATCATTTCCATGTCAAAAAAGTCACAGTTTGTCGTAAAACTGTTGAAATATAAGACTATGAAAAATATGCAACTAGAAAGACACAAATCCCAGAATCCCGGTCCCGACTAACTCCCCTTTTTTGTATGTACAGCTCTCAACATGCCCAGACTTGTAGTGATGTTCACCTCTTTTAATACTTTCCGCCTCATTCTGAAAGAAAGAAGTGAAATTTGCCAACGTGACGGCCGTCTTGGTGTGTGGTGCGAGACGGGAGATGTAGTTCATTGAGCGGTTTCACACAAAAAAGTGTTACTTCACAGTTTTACGACACATTTTTATTTTTTTGACTTAAATTATCTTTTAAATTGACAAACATCATATGTGTAATTTGTGGCGCAATTCAAACGGGATCGAAAGATAATCTTTCTCTCCATTGATTTCAATGCATAACTTTTCCGAAATAAGGTCCCAGCTGAGCTGCTCTGTGTAACCAGCTAGCAAGAATGAACTCTCACCCCGGTACCCTCACTAACGGGTCCGGGTTGCAACACACACTATAAGCCACAGTGAATTATGTCCCGTAACTGTCACCACAACATACACTTACTCTGGGATTTGTAGTCTTTCTAGTTGCATATTTTTCATAGTTTTATATTTCAACAGTTTTACGACAAACTGACTTTTTTTACATGGAAATGATTTTTTAAGATTGACAAACATCATGTGTAATCCATGGCACAATTCAAACGGGATCGAAAGATAAGTGTTCTCTCCCCATTGACTTCAATACTTAATTTTTCCGAGGGCGGAAGTACAAGGGCGGGACTTCGCCTCTCTATAAAAAGAAAATAGGCTTGTTTGAGACAAGCGAGACCGACGCAGACCTGCGCAATTACGATCAACGTCTTGCTAGTGCGTTGCATGATGGTTAGTCATTTTGTCCGACTTGCTCTGGAGGCTCGCCTACATGAGACGTTGAAATCTCGCGGGACAAAGACGCCCGCAGACTTGAGCGAGGCGCGACGAGGCGGCGCAGTTTCTCTCCACGGGCTGCGGAAGCGAAATGCTTGATGGGGAAACGACTCGCTGGTATCTCGAGCTGAGCGCTCATTGGTGGTTTTTACCCTATGTTTTTACCCCGTGCTGCTGATGAAACTCTCCAATTGGCTCGGCAAAAGTTTGTTGTTGTTTTGTGTCAGTTTTACTTCGCCACTTCCATTCACATTTTTCATCATTGTTCCACAATGTTTATCATCATGAAATTAATATCTATATATTTTATACTATACTTGCACTGCTTACCGTTTTCATACTTTATATATCTTAGCATATTCATACACACTGTTCATACTGCTCACAGGCTGCTGTGTATATCTAGTGTATTCATACCCCTCACTGTTTATTCATCATTCAATTCATTCTATATTTTATTCTGTAGATTGTGTATATTACTTTTCACTTTACTGCTTGTTGCACCTGGTTAGAAGCTAAACTGCATTTCGTTGTCTCAGTACCTGTAATATGTGCTATAACAATAAAGTTGAATCTAATCTTGAGCAGGAACAAATGTATTTACTTAGTACATATCTGACATTAATGATTAAACACATTTGTGCATTCTTTATAAATGCAAACCGAGTCAAGCCGACTCCGGAGGTGGCGGTATGCACCTTAAAGTTGTTTGCAATCCGCCAAAAAACCGAAAGAATTAGAAGAACAAGCCGACTCCTCGCTGTCCGACTTCAGGCGAGCTTTTTGAGACCTCCCCCGGCTGCGATCGGCTATTCTCGTCTACTTTCGAGGCGAGCCGCAGCTCGTCTCAAACAAGCCTAATGGCCAAAGTGAATTCTGAAAGATGATGACAACTTGCAAAATAAAAATAAAAACATAAATGTTGGAACTGAATGTGAACAGCAACATATATTTGTGTAAATTCCAACATACAGCCTTGTTTTATATACAGAGCAGTTTGTAAAACAGGAAGTAAAATAGGCTAAAGGTAAAGGTGTCAAGTGATCAGCTTTTTCATTGGATAAATTGTTTACATTTATTTATTAAATTGATTATGACATAATTAATTAATGACATGATGTATCCATTAATTGTAATACCGTTAACTGACAATAATGTTAACCAGTTCACTGACTACAACGTAGTAGCTAAATTAGGCTAACTTTAGCAGGGCTTTGGTATAACTCACATTATGAAATCTTACCTTTTTCATCAAATAGTTTTGGTGTCCGTTCTTTTTTCTTATAGACTAACCTATGTAGTCCCAGTACGAGCTAATCGATGTCCACGAATATGAGCAGCAAGCTACTTAGTAGGAAGATAAACTGACTCATCTACACCTCACAGCTGACACAAAACTCACCGACCACCGTCAGCTGTTTACGCATGCGCGTACCAACAAAACAAAACTGGAACTTCCGTAAAGATATTTCAGAATAAAAGCGGCACTAGAGTGCAGCACTGAAACAGGCGTGGAGGGAGAGACGAAGAGAAACATATGTACATATACACATCTATGAGACCTCTTTTTGACTGCTGTCAAGATGGTGTGATGTGAAAACAGGGACTAAAAAGGACTCTTGGTTGAGAGAGAGAGAGAGAGAGAGAGAGAGAGAGAGAGAGAGAGAGAGAGAGAGAGAGAGAGAGAGAATAATCGCTTTGGCAATAATGTTCACCTGACATTCATGCCAATAAAGCATATTGAATTGTAATTTAATTGAAATATAGAGAGAGAGAGAACAATTAGTTTCTCACCAGTTAGTCCTTGCATCCACTAGATGCTGCTAATGTGCACCTCTTTAGGTAACAAACAACAATGCTGAAATATAATCTTATAAAAAAAGAAATATAGAACCTCCTGTCTTTGCAATTTATACGGTATAGCCAATAATAACGCTTCACCTTTAGCACTGTGAGTGATAACCGAACAATGTGATAACCAGAGAATTTCCACAGAGCAATGTCCAAGACAAAATCTTGCACATCCGCACTAGTCAAAGTTCACTTTATGCAATAAACGGTCTATGGAGAGAATCACTTCAACATAGCATTATGTGCAAGGAATTTCTTGGTGGTCAAAGCAGTTCAGTGTGTTCAGTGTGTCTGGGTTTGCTCTTAGTGTAGTTTGAAAGAAAAAGTGTCCACAAAATGTCTTTAAAAGTCTGTCTGGAAGAGTGGGAACGCCTGGAAGAAGACCATAAGCAACTTCAGGTAAGAAAATTACAAATATAAGTTTAAAGTATCAGATTATTCACACAGAGCCGCCGTTTAAATCATATGATTTACATATGTTTGCCTCCTGTTGTGTTACTCAAACCACATGAGTAATGTTTCTAAAATCCCTAAAGTTAACAAAGATAAATGCCTTGTGATGTAAATATGAGTGGTTATTGATGTCCCCATGTTCTTCTTTTCCAGGAGACACACAGAATGTACTTACAAAAACTGGAAGAAGTTTCCAAACTACAAAAAAACTGCTCGTCCTCCATTTCCAGTCAGCGCAGAAGGCTGAAGGAGGTATCCTCCCTGGTGAAAAGGTAAGTTTACACACACACAAACACATCTGTATGGTCACAGATTTATGGTGACGTATACAGATAAGTACAACCGCTCGAACACACACACATACACAAATGCGTCGTGTCAATGTAACAGACCTGGCAATCATATATCACTTATATCATCCATCAGATGCAGCAAAGGACCATCAGAAGAAGATGCAAAGCCCTTGAACGAAATAAATGAGAAGATAAAGACGCGACCAAATGCTTTCTCTGAAATGGAAGCATTCCTTCCCAATAAAAACGGGTGGATTTCTTTTTTAAAACACAAGTTGAACTCATTGCTATGATTGATATTCATAACTGTAAAAACATATCAATTGCATTTATTATCGTAATGTACATTTACACTAGAAAAATAATATGATACATTTTCATATTTCAGATTGTACCTCAGTCTGGTTCTTGGAAATGTGAATGTCACTCTTCTCAGCAAGCAGTCAAAGTAAGAAACACATTTCTAAGCCGAAAGATTCCTTATTTCCCAAAATCCATGACACATTTCATTAGTTATATTATATGTTGAGGTCTGAATTTGTCCTATCTTCGTCAGATTTGCCTACAAAGATGAATACGAGAAGTTCAAGCTGTACCTCACAGTCATCCTGCTGCTGTTCTCCTTTGTATGCTATTTCTTTGTGAGCTACAGGTAAATATTAGCATGTTCTGCTACCTTGTCAGTAACCATGAGTTTATTATACGGACAATGCATGTACCTCATATCTAAATCAATCCGTTGTCTGTTGTCCCCGACTTTAGATTCCTTGATGCAATCCTCAATTTCATGCTGGTTTGGTACTATTGTACATTAACCATCAGGGAAAGTATCCTCATCACCAACGGCTCCAGGTGAGTCCTAGCACCCCTACAACCATCTTCAAAAAATAATTACTAATTTTTCATGAATAAAACATATTGACCTTTTAACTTTAATTATAGCAACTCATCATATTTGTAGTGATTAAGTAAAAATGTAAACAACAAAATATATAATACAATGCATCTTGCATCACAGAATTAAAGGCTGGTGGGTTTTTCACCACTACATCTCAGCTTTTTTTTCGGGTGTAATGCTAACATGGTGAGTATTTCATACCTTTCTTATTCAATGTTGGACATCCTTTTGTTGTGTGTATATTGCAAAAACCTTTATACTCGGTTTCCATCGCATGAATTTACACGTTGTCTAAATGCTTTTGATGTTTTATGTATAGCCGTATTGCCTGGTTGTTGAAATGTGTTATAAATAAACTTACCATGCCTTTTGTAGGTACATTTAATAAAAAAAGAGAAAAAGCCTAATTACCACATTGTGAAAATGCCCCCCACGCTTTTTGTATTGTATTACTGTTGTTTTTTTCTACGTAATTACTTATTTTTCTATTTTTCACCAAGGCCAGAAGGGGACTTGTACAAGACATTCAGGAACCAGTTCCTTGCCTACTCCTTGTATCAAAGTAAGGTCTACCTACTTGAAATACATTTATAATTAAAAAATAAATAAATAAAAGACTGACTCATTTCATTTGTAACTTACAGGTTTTGTCCAGTGTCTACAGTGCTACTATCAGAGCGGATGTCTCTATAGGCTAAGAGCTCTGGGAGAAAGACACAACATGGATCTGACCGTCGGTGAGGGACACTGTAACAGGCCAAGGACACAATACACTCAGCGAAGCACATCATACTTTAATATTGATGTTCCCCAGGCATATCCGGGGCTGCTTATTGTCACTGCTGTAATAAACAGATGTAGAAATAAAATGCATTAGCAATTTAAACTCTTCTGCTTTCTGTTTTCAGAGGGATTTCAATCTTGGATGTGGAAAGGGCTGACGTTTCTGTTGCCCTTCCTCTTTTTTGGTCATGTGAGTACAGTCTTGGACACTGAGATGATTCACAACTGAGCTTAAGCTTAAACAATTATGCTTTGTCATGGCTAGATAAAAAAATCTGATGGAAAATGCTGATGTCATTCTAGACTTAGGCACAATTTGGGACAACGTTTAGGATGATGGTTATCTGAATAACAGCTTAAGCTTTAGCGTGTCTGTGTTTGTACAGCTGAAAATCAATTCATTTACTTTTTACAAGATAAATCCTGAAGTCCTCGTGTTTTGTCTTGTAGTTCTGGCAGCTCTTCAATAGCCTCTCTCTCTTCCGAATGGCGCGGCTCCCAGACTGTAAAGAATGGCAGGTCAGTACCTATTCTCACTTTATACCTGCTTTTATAAGTGCTTATAAAAGCAGATTTGCAATGCATTCATCCATCATCTAAACTGCATGAACTAATGTTATGTTATTATCGACATGGCATGTTATAATTTAGTCAAAGATGCCTACTATAAATGAGCTTCTTCTTCACCTGTTCTCCATTCATAAAATAAGAAAAAGGATGATGAATTAAATATTTTGTGCTTACTCATGTATTCATGTCTTAATGCCAGGTCATGGTGTGTGGTCTCTGCTTCCTCATTCTGTTCATGGGAAACTTCTTCACCACTGTTGCTGTGGTCCGTCACAAGGTCAAGAGCAGGAATCAGAAAACTAAGAGTCTGTGATACATGCTGTAATAGGAAAAACATGTCTACAAATGCAGTCTAAATTGCTGATCTCCGAATGTGAAGCTCACATTGTCATTATTGCTTTCATTAACATTATCTGCGAATACGTTGTGTATTATCAATACTTATTAAAGGTAAATGATGCTCCACAATGTCCTTTACTTTGCATAGTTAGTCAAATCACTCTCATAGCAAAAGCTAAACCAATAAAGCATTTATTCCACCCTCTGTGAAGCAGTTTTGTACTACTTCTTTGTACTTTATGTACTTTGACATGTGTCTGAATATGTTTGATTGCAGCTTTTTGTTCTTTTCCTGCCTATATATGGTTCATTTAAAATTGGGCGTGTTAAAGATGAGTTACCGTGGAGGGTTTTTAAAAAAGTACATCTTATTCTATCTCATTAGGTTTCATTTGCCTTTTCTTCTCCCTGTGTTGTAATACAACATATTTCTTGATAAAGTAATTAAAATAAACTCCATCTTCGCCTGCTACAACTTAAAAAAATATATATAATAAAATCACCAATGATAAATATAACACTAACTGACTGGCAGTGGTTTGAAAAATATTTAAATAATTTTGTAAATGTAAGTAGCCCTGCACAGTGTATTGTCTACCAAAGCAAATGTGTGGAAACCTACAATAAACCTTATTCAGATTCTGATTTTGGGGTTCGTGTTCACAACATTTGCATGCACTTTTAAATGCATGACTTTAATATAAAATGTATTGTACTTTTATTTAAGGAAATAATATGAATAGGCTAGTTAATACTTTGCGCATGTATGCAGGCGGAACCAGTGTCCTTGGCATTGTTAACAACAACAACAACACCCTTTAAATTGAGGAGGATACTACTCCTACTCCAGTCTGAGGTGCCTGGTTGGATTTTATAACCCTGACCCTTACTCTGCTGCACATCGACTGCTATTTATTTTAGCACGTTACATGTTCGATGTTAGGTAATGTCGAGGTGGACCGACCCAAATTGAAACACGTGTTCGCTGAAATAAAAATAAATAAACAAGCTAATTTACAACAGATAGTTTATACAGAAACATATATTAATAATATAAATGAGTATATCTTTTCAACACATCAAATTATTTCGTAATTATATGTATATGGAGTTTAAAGTGCAAGAGTCCACCCCCGCTGCCAGCATGGAGTTGGTTTGATCCTACATCGCGTAAAGTTTCCTTCCGTGAGCCTGACACAAAGAGGGGAGCGAAGGTAAGCACATCACCAAATGCACATTTTACACTGTTTTACATCGACCTGTAGTATGTGGCAGTCTACGAGAAGTACACGTCAGCGATAATAGATTGGTACTGAAAATAGCTAATATTTGTCAGTTAAACATTGGCTAAAATGTAGCGATGACTTCGGTGTGATAGGCAAACTGTGGCTAACTTCTGTGGAGCATGTCGTTTCTTTGGCATGTATAGTTTACAATACGAGGGCTTCACATATCAAACACAAAGGTTCTGTCCTTAAATGAAGCTGTGTTTTGTCTGTATTTTATTATGTACAGTATGTGTTTCTATTCGCGATCCAGTGAATAGCCGGGGCCGAGACCTCTCCTACTGTCTGTCTTCTTGGTTACTTCTCGTATTATTTAACCGCTAGCGTTACCGGTATTTGCTAAATGGAGATTTTGCTCCATTAACATACATCAAACCTGTTTCTAACGTTACACTTGTAAGTTTAAAAACACCCTGACGGAAACCGGTGCCACAACTTTGAGAGTTACTTAACTTTGTTGCTTTAATCAGAAGAGGTGAACTGTCAGAATGAACTCTCGTCAACCTGGTACATATTCAGTGGTGTAAAGTAGTGCTGTGAAGTAAATAAGTAGATTTACCCAAGTACTATACTTAAGTACAATTTGAGATACTTTACTTTACTATTTCAATGTCTTACTACTACTGCCCCACTCCAATTCACAACAAAGTAATTACAACTAGCTGCACCTTTACCAGCTTGATGCATCAATAATTATAATTAAAACATATAATTATTATGAAGTGGGGCAATCTGCATAATGATTACTTTTACTTTTGGTACTCTAAGTATATATTGATGCTAATACTTTAACTTAAATAACCTTTTGATTGCAGGACGTTTACTTGTAACAGAGTATTTTTACACTTTTTGTATTTCTACTTTTACTTAAGTACAGGATCTGAGTACTTTTCCACCTCTGTCCATGTCTGATTTCATTGATCATTCAACGCCCCTGGTGGAAAACTATTAAAGCTTCTTTCACTTGGATTTATTGGTGACTAACCAAAGTCTCACATGATTTTGACCACAGCATATCTTGTATCTGTCATACTGTATAGTGAGTGATTCTTCCCGAGGGGCCATGGCTAAAGAAATACAGGGGCACCAGCACAAAGATAGTTTTATAGTATTTAGGGCAGCGCTCTTTCGAGTGGTCAATTAATCACATTTTATAAATGTAACAGCCACCCTTAGTGCACTGCATCTTGTTTTTAACTGAAAGAGTTACCTTGCATGACAGCTCAGTTCTTGCACATCATGCAGATGTTTACATCGGGTCTTACAATATCGCTACATCATAATGTTAGGAATTGTGTTTTAAAGTCGTAGATTTGACTTTCCTGCATCGAGACATACGTTTTTAAAGCCCCTTATATACAGTAATGTGTGTGTTTGTCTAGATTGTGGCTTTCCCTGTTTGAATAGGGAAACTAGTTTTCCTCATCTAGAATAATCCCTTTTTTAACGGATTGATTACAAAGTTAGGTGTGGTCCAAACTCTGTCTTGCAGCACCTGCTGTAAAGCAGGAGAAGAACAGCTGAAATCGTTGTACTTTGGTCAGTCTTTTAACCAACATATATTGTGTATGCATTTAGCTAAAAAAAAACTGGGATTAGATGTTTTAACCATATTGCATAGCCCTAATGACACAGGATAAAGTTGAAAGCAGGAGCTCTGTTGTTTTTCGGTTTTGTCTGCTAATGAACCCAGCTGGGAGTTCACTGAAAAGGTTAGTTGGCATGGACACAATTGTGCAACAGTTAGGGCACACTGATACTGTGTGATTTCTGTTTGAGGTCATTACGTTATCTTTTGAATGACCAGACTTAAACTATTAATATTGCAACAATACTTGTTCTATCCTCATTGATAAATATTTACGGTACTGTCAATGTTTTAATAGCAGCTGGGAACGCTTCCTTTGCTAAGCATTGCCACAGACATTGGTTTCAAAGAAATTCAAACAAGCCAGAGCGTTTTTTCCCCATTTCTAATGATAACGGGGTGAAGCAAGACCTTTATGCAGTGCTGATAGTCGGCTCTGCAGATATGTCTGGCTATGATAGACTTATTTTATTATAGAGAAAGTTTCAGTAAAAAATGTTTCACAACAGGCTAAAATAAGAGAGAATTACACACACTTGCATTCCCTTGCACTTTGCTAATTTGCGGAAATACCATTTGAATATTACATTTAGAAATGACAGGGGAGAGGTTTTGACTATGTTATGTTTCTATCTGATAATAGCTTCACAAGCACTGAAGTCACCGTGACTGGCACACAGGAACCTCTGTACCTTGAAGTAGGGCTGCACGATTTGGGGAAGTCATCTAATTACAATTTTTCTGACAGATTTTGCGATTGCGATTTGCGATTAGGAAGGTTGCATCAACATGCTCCCGTCTCTAGCACCCCCGTAGCCAGAGCTATGAGTGAAAGAACTAAACATGAAACTTCCGTTGGGTTGCTTTAAAGTCAAGCTTCAGTTTAAGATTCACCCTGTAATAGATGTAAAACATGTGATGGAGCATTACAAACCTGACTCAGATGGTTTGTTTCACCGAACCATCTAGGAAAGCTCCATTGGAAGCCATTTGGAAAAGGGCAGGTACTTTCAAAAATACTTGGCAGGTGATTGGATCAATCTGTCAATCACCTTCTATCATGGGCCACTTCTGATTGGTTAACAATGGCTGGTACATGTGGAGCACAGCACTTCTGATTGGTGTGGATGACTGACACACAAGAAGAAAATAAAAAAATAAAAATAAAGAATCGCAGGCTTTGCGATTTGATAATTGCATAATTTCAAATCGCGATTTCTATTTAAAATCGGTTAATCGCTCAGCCCGACCTTGAAGTGGTTTTCTATTTATGTCAGTGAGTCAGAAGTCCAATTGTGAGAAGTTAAGGCTCCTGTTGAGTGTGTGTGCTGTTTCATTCAAATGGTTACTAGTTGGGGAAAAGCCATTCAGATCTCATTGTTTTCACTCCTTGAACCACATGGAAACTTGAGAGCTCAGGACACATTGTTCTTCCGTGCTCACTCAGTGTGAAAAAAGCTGCCGTTGTTAAAGTACAATAAGACATTCCTCATTTTTCTGAATCAGTGGGTCTTTATGTTGTACCAGTTGAAGCCAATTGTCTAATAATGCTTGCAAAAAAGCCATCATTGTATGGCATGACATGTGTAATACTGCTCGCTCACATGTGTTTGCAATCATGTTGTTCTGTGCAGCATTTTAACCCAATTATTGCCAGACTCTAGTTTTGTTCAGTTGGAATGTTTTAGGCTACAGAATTGACACTCATTATAAAATGCAGATTAAATAAAAGGTCCATTTTAAAAAAAAAGGCCTTCAAGCTGCTTATTTAATTAAAGAAATGATGGTTAATGATACGCATTATTTTTCTACGATAACTGTTTGGTACTATTTACTTTTTATATTGACTATACTTGTTCAAACACAGTTTGTTCTTTGCCTACAGTATATGCAGCGTGTCAACATGGCAGACATGGACGCTGATACTGCTGCTCACACCGAGCCTTCGGTGGAGGAAGAGGAGCCTTTTTTCAGCAACCTGGACCTCCTCCTCTTCTCCCTGATTGTTGGTCTTGTTGTTTATTGGTACATGTCCCGCAAGAAGCCTGAGCCCATCCCCGAATTCAAGAAGCTCGACACAGCGTGAGTACCCATCACAATATATATAACAGATTTATTTATTTTCTTAAAGAGTTTGTGGTATGAGTGTTTCTTTATTTGTATTTGGATCTGATTACATCTTTAAGATAAATAAATAAGGATGCTTCAGAGTAAAGAAACAAATTGAAACTCTATATTCGTTAAAAAAATGATCTCAAGTAGTGTTGGGTATTGTTTAACACTAGAACCGCCAACGGGTCCATTTTACCCGCAGCTGTTTTTTGATTGTAT